GGGGGGGGGGCACTGAAATGCCTTTGCACATGAGGCATTTGACAGCGCTGCATGGACTGTGGACTTAAGTTCTCATCGTTAGATTGGACAAAGGTTTACATCTGATAAAGACACACTCACTCACACACCTATGCATTTCCAGGGCGGGTCACTGCCCCACAGTGAACCTGGTGACAGTTTAACTCGATCATAGGTCACAGGTGTGTTGCATGTTGCATTAATGTTACAGTTTTAGGAATATATAACTAAATTAGAAGTACATGAAGCCATTTAACCTCAACCTTAAGCATTCATGCTTAGTTAACCTTCTCTCTACTGGCTAACTGAACAGGAGCAGAAATATGGTCCTTTAAATGTCAGTTTTTTTGTATCATCAACAACATCAAGAGGGCCAGGGCAGACAATAACACACCACGTCAAGCATAACAACTTTCCAAGACAGTAGCAAAAACTACATGAGGCCGGGAAGTAATGTCACAACTAATCCGATTTAAAACTATTTAAAGCGTCTTTTCCTGTAAGTGGCCATGCAAACGTGACACCTTGTAATTTAAGACGTGTCCATATTGATCAAGAGAAAGTCTCTAATTCGGCTAAATGTCATGCATACAACAGTGCATACTCCAGAACAACAACTATCCGAAGTGGTTGATCAAAACACTGTGGGCGCTAGCAAGCAGGGTCACCCTAATAATAAAGTGACATTATTATCAAAAGGTGGGCAGCTGTGAGGATCATATATATGCCGAATTCACCAGGTGACTGCTGACTCAAGCAATATTTCAAAATATGGCTTTTAAGACATGTGGAGTTTGCGTAGGTGGCCAGTTAACTTTAAATTACGCAATTTGTGAATGGAGGATTGGCCGTACCACAGAAGGTAACTGCAGCTAGCCTCCTTGTAGAAACTTTGGCCAAGGTCGCTTTACTCACCTCCTCTGTTGCCGTGGGACAATAATACACGAGCACCACGGTGGTCAGGATGTTGATCATGAGTCCGACAATAGTCAGGGTGTTTGGGGCGATCCATATCGGAGTTTGCTCGACGAGCCAGTTCCAGTAGACCTGGCACGGCGGCTCGAACAGAGACCGACCCGAGGCGCTGTATTTATGCTCCTCCAGCCGCTTCAGTTGAGCGGGTGACAGCGGCTCTGGCCACAGGAAATGTGGCATTGTTGTTCTGCCTAGTCACTCCTCCTATTACCGTAGTAAACGTCCCAATACTCCCAGCCCGATAGTGGCTTAGACGGGGCTATCTTCTCTCGGCCAACTCCAAAAAATAGCAGCTCATTTGGCATTTATAGCTAGGTGACTAGACGAGGCCATTTCCACAGTGGAACCATGAGATGTCGATACTTTGTGATCGCGTCTCTCCACAGGAAGTGGGGATCCGGAAGGGAATAATTTGGCTGCGCACCGGGAAGTTTAAATTTAAATGAAAACATTAGGCAAATATGTTGTTTTTTTAGAACCATTAAATGCTATATTAAATGTCAAAATGTTCCATTTATCACGTAAAAAAAAAAAGGTAACACTACAAGTCAGCAAACATGGACGGAGAAGCAACTGTATAACCATCAATTCCAGCATATTCAATTGACAGTAAGTAATTAAAATGTGCACTCCTTGTTTGTAGTGCAAAATGTAATACAAAAATATAATTAATATTTATTTCCACTCACAAAATGTAGTTGTTTTTACGGTATTTAACTAAGTTGTATGTGCATTTAATTTCCTGAAATTAACGTCTGAATTCGTGTTGCCTTGAACTAATTCTGAGGGAAATATCGCTAATTAATGTATGATTTGGCATAAAATGAGTCAAATTTAAATGTACTTGAACTTAGTGGAACTGCGAATTCCCATAATAAATACTCAGTGATTTACTTTTGACTATTTTTAATTATTTGGACTATAAATCATGAAATAATATATCTATATTACTTGAATTATTGTATTAAAGGAGTAGTATTATTTCCTGCGTACATTTTTGGTGAAGTGAAATTCAATATCTTATAGATTCACGAGGTTAAGGACATAGTGTGGTGTACAGCCCACATTTTTTAATTAGAAAGATAGATTTTTGTGAACCATTTTGTATATATGACATGCAAATGTATTTTTGTGCTTGAAGCCATATTTGCATATCTAGGTTATTCTCTTATCACAACTACAAGTGTTTTAGTCCACATTTTATACCATAATTAATATAGTTAGTCATACTAATACATGAGATCCAGATTAAAAAGAGTAGTTAAAACAAAATCACTTTTTAAATGACTTTTTATTGTAATCCATGGGTCATAATTACAAAGGTAAAGGCATGCACATATGACTGAGCATCAATCAAGCCTCACGTCAAATATGAATCAAAAAGAATAATTTTTCATGCCAGTGTAAACTCTACATTTTTCTCACATTTTACACATAAGTGATCAACACAGAAAAGGGGAAATTAACAAATATGCATTTGAATTGTCTTAGAAGGCTCTACACGTTCATGTATCCAACATTACTCTGATCTATTATCATTGTATCCCTTATATAATTTTTGACACACCATAAAACTGCAACCTTTGTTTATACATTCTCTTTTCCCTTCTTTCAGACCCAGGAAATAAGTTATCAACGTCTACAGACACTCCCAACAAGAACCAACATGTAAATACTGTAAGTGTGCCACTTTTCTCTATATGTGCATTGTATATATTTTAGTTTTTTTTACACACTATATGAAATGATCAAAATTTAGAACCAAAACACTGCTGGCATGCATCAGAGCTGAGTCTTTTGAACCCAAAAGGTTGACAGAAGTGAGCTGGGATTTTCTTCTTCTACGGGAACAAGCTCCAAACATGCACACAGCATGCCACACCACAGAGCAGTGACCCCTCCTCCACGCTCCTCCGCCTGTCTCGCTATCATCCCTCTTCAACCTCCAGATCTCAGCAGTAGAGAGAAGAGGATCACTACTGGCAGCAAATGTCTGTAAAGCAAAAGTGTCTCATAGCAGTCTATCCAATGTTACTTCTGTGGCTCCACAACCTTCTCGTTCATGTACTTGTCAATCAGGTGTAGGGGCACTCCGCGTTGCATGAGCTCGAAGAAGGTGAAGCCTCCTGAGGGACGAGAGGAAAAACGTTCTTACAATATTCTTGGGGAAGGACCGAGGTAGATTTGGAAAGTGAAAAGCAGAGAGAGGAAGAAGAGGAGGAAAGAGCAATAACCTAACCAAGCAAAACAAGCAGAATGCAAGAATGCACTGGATAAAGGGTGAGAGGAGAGAAAAAAAGATGGTCAGAGATCTACTCAATGCACACTCAGTTTGTAAATCTCTGCCCTGCACAGGCTTGCAGCACCAGAAGCGAGGAAATCACTGAAATACAGTGCAGTTCACACATCTCTGAAAAGTTCCAGGTTAATCAAGCTGTCTTTAGTCATCCACAATATACTAACAGTTGTGTAAGCACTTGGATCCCTAAGTAAATTATCAATAGACGTTTACTCGGTAAAAATATTGAAATCATACATTTTAGAGGATAATGAATTTTCTTTAGTATTAAATATACAGAGTGATTGCTAGATAGATCAGATAAATGTTGTAGAGTAAAAAAAAAAAACATACAAATATGCGTCTATAGAAATACATATAAAATATATATATGTAGATATAAAAATGAATGTATTATATACTGACTCATATTTAATGGATAAATGTGATATTTGTATTATTCTCTCATCTTTAAAGCAAACCACTTCCTTAACTGTCAGAATATTCCATTTATTTCAAAACCTCAGTGTACATGTTACATCCCATCACTATAAGCTAACGGATACATCAGACACAACTCATCAATCACTTCCAAACAGAATGTGGATAATACCCAGTGTACCCAGTTAGTATGCTTTGTTTCAATCTTGTTTGATTTTATTTTTCAAGTCAACATAACTTAAAACTCATTCCCAGCTCTTGATTTTTCAGCAAATGTTAGCAAGTTTGCAAAACGGTTTACTTACCTTATCTGTTGCACAAAATACATGAGAGGTAGTCTTTGAACTCACTCCATTTCACACCAACGACTATGGCAATCAATTATACATTTCCAAACAGGACTGTTAAAATAAGCCAGCAAAGCAGAACTGGGGAATAATTTAGCAAAGTTGTCATGCGAACATTGCTTTATTACTGCCCGGTTGCACATGTTCTTTCTCTGGGACTGCTTTCATGGCGATAAAAGCTGCTGCAGTCCCACCGACTGAGAGAAGCGAGGTTATTAGCGGGCTGAAAGATGCATAATGAATGACATAAGCTTCATATGCCAAAACCATATGAAAGCTTACCTTATATGAGAACATACATTCATAATTCTTGAGTTTGGACTGGGGGAGAGAGAAGAGAAGAGGGGTTAACAAAATGTTTACGTGGAGTTATATGTGTGCACCAGGGACTCTAGCTTTTATTACTGAACTCTTTTATATGAGGAGTTAACTGTGGCATAAAGGGGACACTGGAAACCGTGGAGAATAGTCGAAGACAACACAAAACATCACAGTTGCTCTTGTTATGCCTACAGAGCTGTGACTGGGGACAGACTGTGTTGTGATGATGAACAAGATGACCAGGTGGACTGGACTGGACAGAGTTTTGTGAGAACACAGGGGATAAACCTCTACATGTGGTGGTGATGGGAAGTGTCACCAGATATTATGTGCACTGCACACAAATGAACAGATTATTATTTGCACTTAATTTGAAAATGTGGTCCAGGAGCCGGTTGCACCAACTGTTCATAAATTCATATTCAAGTGGAGATTGAAACATCAGTATATTTAAAATGGTTTGCACTACACAGACTAGTTCCTATGTAGGGTTTACTTATTCATAAATAACTACAGTGTTAGCTAATTAAATTACCTGACAGTTAACATTGGCTTGCTAATATAACCCGTTTAGAGTGTAGAATAAAAGAGATTATACAGCTGACACATCTGACATACACTTAATTTGGTTTCCTAAAGCTTTAAGTTAAATGCTTTAGATTAGATGATGATACTGGATGCAACAAATGGACACAATACTATTGTCTACAGCTGCAGTTAAGACATTCCTTAATTTTCAATGGTGCAACCCAATTTAGGTAATCACCAGGAACTAGCTAAAGGTTTCTAAGAAGTCCAAAAAGACTTTATATACAACCATGGCCATGAATTTACGAATAGCTTGTGCAACCCTTTCCAGATACTTACATGTCCATCTCTTATTTGGTCAGCCCTTTGGTAGACTATAACGCACAGTTCAGATAATACATTATAACAGGGGAGTTGCTTTCCCATAGCCACCTTTGTGTCCTTATAAACGTTAGAAAGTGACAATTTGGATTTAAAATAATCAATTTGTTTGTCTCTTTTAGAGGATAAAACTAAGATTTATTTACATTTATTATTAGTAGACACTGGTAAGAGGCAGTATAAATTAATAAAACAAGAAAGTCGAAAGGCTTTGGGAAACCAGACTCAGATACAAAAGGGTATCCAGGGAGGCACACTGAGCTCGCCTCCTGGTCCACACTAACCTTTGATCTCCAGCTTGCAGTCCACTTGGGCCTCACCCAGATCGTTGACGGCCTTGCAAGTGTACGTGCCGCCATCGTAGGGACTGGGCTTCCTGATTTCCAGAGTACATACTCCCTGGTTGCTAAACATGCGGTACCGTGGGTCGTCCAGGATGGTTATCTTATTCTTCATCCAGACCACTTTAGCCTGCGCTCAGACAAGAAATTCGTCAATACGATATAAGTATGACCAAGGGGAAGGATGGCCAAGACAAAACAAAAATAGAAAGATCCAAACTAACTGGAGCCATCCTTGAGAAGTTAGTTATAATACTAGCTTTGTATTTTTAAATACTGGGAAGTATCAGTGCTACAATACATGATAATCAACTTTTCTATTTACCCGAGTGTAAAGCCTAATATATTCATACACGACTTTATACCTGTGGTTCTCCCACCTACCCTTGGGTTGGCACGGACACTACAGTTTAGAGTAGCGTTGTAGCCGGCAATAGCAAAAGTGTTGATCAGCGGCTGTGTGAACTTTGGTGCCTCCATAAAGTCGTGGTCCGTGAACTCGTGCGTTTTCACCTGCATGCCTGTTGGGGTAAGGGTAAAGGAATGGGGTTGTGCATGATACTGACGCTGAGCGGTATCATGTGGGAAATTCCCTGAGTGATGAGGGAAAGACAATGTTTGTTTGTTTATCATCGGCTGAGTCTGAAACATCACTGTCAAAAGGCCTGTCAGTTATTCCCGACCCCTGTTCGATTTTAAAGTGAGGCTGTAATGAGGCTCACTTTAAGGTGGAAACATCACTGACAGTGGCTTTTAGATAACAGCTGTGAAAAAATAGTCACCAATTGAAACAACAACTCTATTGATATTTTCAACATGTTAAATGCATTCGATTTGTTCCAAAGTTCTAACTTTGGAAGCATTTTCCCACATCAGAAATGATAAGTAACCATTGGCTAATATTACAGTCAATGTTACCTTCTTTGACGATGAGGGCACTTTTTTTACTTTGCGTGGCAGTTTCGCTTAGGCCACACATGTTCTCAGCAAAGATCCTGAAGAAGTACTCATTCCCTACCACCAGCTCTGTGATGGTGATGCATGAGCGATGGTAGTGCTCAATGCATGTGAACCATTCCTATAAAGCGTATTGAAGCAAGTTAATGTAAATATTGAATCCATGTTATTTGAAATTTCAGTTTAGTATACACTTTCAAATTGATGTTCTACCATTGTTTTCTTGTCTGCTTTTTGAATGGTGTAGCCTGTTATTGGGGCGTTGCCATTGTCCTTTGGAGGAGTCCAGACCAGAGCTACATTTCCTCCCCAAACATCTTCAATCGTGACACTTTGAGGAGGCCCAGGTAGGTCTACCAATCAGAAAGAAAATGTCATTCATCATCATGATCATCATTAATTTATATGTTTTGTTGTGGCAACAGTATTGTTGGGCTGATGCAGGGTTCACCAAGTTAAATGTAAAAAAAAAAGTATTTCAAAGACCTTTTGTCAAACCAAAATTCAATATACAATGCAAAATGGAATGATAGATGACTACGAATTGAATTTTAAATACTAATTTTAACAAGCTTTTTAACTGACATTAATGTCTACAGCATAAACATACCATTTAAAACTTTAAATACCTTTGAAGGGCTTGTTGAGGAAACCTCAATGCACTGCCATTTAAGACTACACTCACCTACAACTTGTATGTCAAGAATGGCCGTGTCCACATGGTTTTCAACTTGAACAGTCATCTCATACTTTCCGGAGTGGCTGCGCTCTGCTTTACGGATAAAGATGATGCTGTCACAGTCTGTGTTGCGGATGTTGACGTGGGTAGGCTCTATGGGCTGGCCCTCTTTCAGCCAGTTGACTTTTGGCCTGGGTTTGCCCTGTGGACATCACAAACAGTTTAAATGCTGCTTAGAGATAAAGTGAATATGGAATCAATGGGAGTTTCTTTACCATAAATGGCACCACAAGGTTCACCGCCTCTCCAACTCTACGAGTGTATGTCTGCTTCAAGTGTCGGGGAACGCGGATCTTGGGTGGTTCTGAGGAGCAAACGGCCATGAGTGTCAAAATCAATGTTTGTTTAAATGTTTCCCTACAAAACGATCAACTTCTGAGCCAAGCTATATCGGGGAAATGCATTTTCAAAAGTCTCCACAACCATTTTCGGAGCTCACCAATAACCTCTTTGACCATGACATGATGCTGAAGGGTCCGTGGAGAGCTGGCTCCGGCAGCATTGATGGCTTTGACTCGAACTAAGATTCTAGTCCCTGGAGTCAGCCCAGTGATGGTAAACTTGGTCTTCTCGGTCAACTCATTGTTGGATACTACCCAATCATCAGCTGTAGAAAAAGAAAATGTTAACTGCCTTCACTGACATTTTTGTGGACAGCGTTAGAACCCTACAAACTATGCAACAGTTTTGATCTTACAGGTTTATTGGATGTCACACTGTGTCAGAATGTATAATAAGGCATTTCAGATTGTTGCCATGAATGCTTTATCGGATGGTCAAACAGCATCTCAAATCCCCTCTCCCCACACATTTACAACAAAGTAATTTGGTTGCTTCTTTCAACAATTGATCTTGTTTTAATTTTGTACAAAACTACATCTGTTTTTTTATGTATGTTAAAACAGGTGCAATAATATGAATGTTTTCCTGTCCAAAAATGTCGTTATCCCACGTATTGCATTGAGCTTCTTAAAACTATTACAATCTCTACGTAGACTGTTTGGGTGCATTTAAAAAAAAAAAACATTTAACTTCCTAAGATATTTCCCACTTTACTCTAAAACAGCCAAAAATCTAAGTTTGTCAGGGCCTTTGGAAAATTTGAAGTTGCCTCACTTCCTTCTACGCAGTACTCCACTAAGTATCCGTCCAGACCGGCAGCTCCGATGGTTTCAGGAGGACGCCACTTTACTGTAACTGTCGTGTCGGTGACATCGTCCACAACCAGCATTGTTGGCTCACTGGTCACAGCTGAGTGGAGATAAAGGTTTTAGAGATCACCAGTCATGACCACCATTTCTAATTTGTTTTCCAACAATGGGTATGAACGAGATCGGAAAACTTTCATTTTGGCAAGTCATAAAGGCACCTTTCTTTTTCTGGCTGTAATGCTATAAATCTGCTTGTCAGATCTCTTTAGTCCCTGCTATTTCCAGCTATTCTTGTATTCTGAATCAGCCTCTATTGAACCCTCTGACAGACCTGATCTCCTAAACCTCTAATCTGCAGATGATTTGGCAGCCATTATACAGACATACTTAATATCCTCTAAAGCTCCTGCGCGTCCAGTTGAGGTCACAGTCAGAATGCTTGGGATGGTGGGCTATGCGGAGGAACAGCTGCGTTGCTGGGGTAGCAAGGGCAGATCACACATGCACTATCACCGGCCCACTCATTTAAATGTCCTCCCTTATCATGAAACGGTTATAAGAAAAACTGAAGCTGCTTGTAATACTTTCCTGGACAGATTATTGGCAGTAACAGCTCAAAGGCCAGTGTTAAGATTGCTAACTGGATTTTCATGGAGACATTTGGGCTACTCACCGAGAGGGGTAAAGGCTTTGGATGGTTCACTGGGCCTGGACGAGCCTATAGCATTAACTGCAAAGATCCGCACTTCATATGGCACTCCTTCAATCATCTTCTTGGGTTCGAAGGATGTTTCTTTAATCAGATCAAAGTTCAGTCTCATCCATCTGGAGCTCTGTTTCTTCTTTCTCTCGATGTAGTAGCCTTTAGAGGACCGCAGAAAAGCTTGTCATTTAACTACTTACGTTTAACAGTTAAGCTGCAGGAATAATAAAAAGGCCTGATTACCTAATATTGGAGAACTTCCATCATATTTTGGTGGTTCCCATGTCATGGAGCACCAATCACCGCCAACAACTGGGACCAAGGGAGCCTCCGGAGGGTCAGGGATGTCTGCAGACAACACAAAACCACGTCAACAGTTCAAGAGACATCTTCTTAATTCTGAACATGGTCTTTTGATTAGAGTACTTTGTGAACATTTACCTACAACCTTGACCTTGACGCTGGCTGTTGCTTCACCAGCCTCATTCTGCAGGACTATCTTGTAGTTGCCTGTGTCCTCCCGCTCTGTTACATCAATTGTAAGGCTGGTCTGGTCGCCATACGTTTCAGCTCGGACACGATTGCCAGACTCAAGAATCACCTAAGGCAATTGAGACAGATATGTATGTCAGCCTTGAAAGTGAAGTAAAAGTCAATGCATCTGTCTTGAACAGAAAATGTATATACTTTTGATTTTAGTCTTATCCTGGGATTTGTTAACCTTAAGCAAAAAGAATAAAGAAAATAAATAATGCAAATCTTATACTTTAAACCGACAAAAGCTCACCCTTTCTCCCTTCATCCACACCACCCTGGGCGCTGGTTCTCCAGTAATGGGGATCTCCAGGCGAAGTTTGTTTCCTGCCACAATTGTCACTGTGTTGTCTGGAAAGTTCAAACTCTCCAAGTGCACCCTCGGTGGGTCTAAAGAAAATTGAATCACACAATTAAAATAAAACTATGTTAATGTGTTCTTACTTGGTATGATGTCCATATATAAACAGAGCATAGGTTGTGTACCAATGATGTGAATTTTGGCAGAGAGGCTCTGTGAATATCCCTCAGGCACAAAAGTGTAATCCCCTGTGTCATGAAGAGTGCTGGTCGCAACTTCAAGACGATGGACCCTGGAAAACCAAAATGATGTTAGTTAGCATTTGTGTGAATTTGATTACGATTGATCATAGCTTAACAGAGGTTACATACTTATTTTTGTGTACGATGTTGATGCGGTCATTAGGCTGGATCAGCTGTCCATTCCTGTACCAACGACCTGCGACGTTGCCTGGGAAAATCTCACAGTGCAGATTGATGGGTTGCCCCAGCATCACCTTCATATCTTGCAAGTCCTGAAATATCTTCAGCGGTTTCACTGAATAAATATAAGAAGGTTGCGAAACCGAATATGGCACAGTATTAATACCGATTCCTCCGAAAACAGACATTATGAAAAAGGCGCAGATGCTACATACAGTCAACCTGTATGCGGGCCTCAGATGTGCCACCGGTAGCCATGATGGAGTATGTCCCAGTGTCCTCCCGGGAGGCGTCATCAATCACCAAGAAATGTTTTGTTCCCTCACACTTAACTCGGTATCTGGAGCGCACTCCAGTTGGAACCTCAACACCATTCTTCATCCTGAAGGAAGGAGAAGCATTTAAAATTAAACACTTACAGATGTCATGTATCTCAACATAGACATAGAGTGTCATCAGATCATTAGTTGGGTTTCCAGAAATGTTAATTAGATGCATTTCCATCAGCTAGTTCATCAGGAGTAGGCATTATAGGCATGGCTGTAAACCGCCAGTAAATAGAGCATAAGAAGTAGAACTTGCACCTAGTCAAAAATAATTATCCCTGCTTGTCATTCTACATGAGCTTTCTGAGGTAAACATATTATTTCCTTTATCATTTGTCTTTATTCTGGCAAACCCATCCCTTGTTTTATTCTGCAAAAAGTAGTTAAACAAACATCTTAAATAAGTCTTACCATTTGACCTGAGCGCCTTCCTCTGACACCTCGCACTCCAGCTCAATCCTCTCGTTCACTGTGGTCTTCACCGGCTCAATGTTTTTAACTATCTTAACTGGCAACTCTATAGGAGGAGTATAGAAGAAGAAACTAAACACGTTTCTTATAACAAAAAAACCTAATTAGGTCAAACTGAAAAGATAATCAGGGTACCTTTGACAAACAGCTCTGTGGCACAATTCTCGTCTCCAGCAGCTACAGAATAAGCTGCGTCATCATTCAAGGAGCAGTTGTTGATGACCATAATCCTTTGTGTGCCCTTATGCTCAAAGATATACCTTAACAGGAAGTCTATTAGTCACACCACTGTTCACATACAGTTTGTTTAAGTCAATACACAATACAGTCATCGTAAGATAAAAAAGTGAAGATGTATGGGAAGCAAAGACTGGGCAAACAGCAAAATAAAAAATATTCCTAGAATTAAAATGTACAGCAGCAAAATAAACATCATAAATGTAATCAGCATGCATCAAGTTCACTTCACAAACCCAAGGGTCAGGTTTGAGAGAGGGGTGGGATCACACCAAAACATGGATATGGAGAAGGGAGAATCAACTGTATGGATGGACTTACTTTCTTTGACTTAAGGTCAGCAGTGAGCCAGAGTGGTCCGAAGCAGTGTACAGGAAGTGAGTATAGTAGACAGGAAAGAGCATAATGATATGACACATAGATAGATAGACAGACAAAGACAGTGAGACCTCATGCCTTGGAGAGTTTATTTCGTCAGAAAATAGTGTCAAAAGACACATAGAGTTTTCTTTAGATAATAAAGTCTTCGGTGTAGGGAGCCCTGGAGAAAATGCAACTCGAGAACAAAACCAGAAAATGGCAATAACCTCCCAAATGGCTTTAACTTGGCTTGGCTTAGATGGACTAGACGTTTCAGCAGAAATATATTTCAGGGTTTTTATATTAAACACTTTTAGTTACATAATCATTATCGCTCAATTCAGTATTATACCCTACTATTAACCTCATCAGCCCGGAGTAATACGCTACCCTATTATAAGCACTACCTTTTATTATTATAATATGTTAATATTCACTAACACTATTCCCAAAGTCAATACAAACTTTAACTAGAAGCCACTGTTTTTTTACACCTACATTTAATTAATAAAGTTACACAATATAGATATAAATACTTTAATTGTAGAATTTAAACAAAAAATACTGAGACCTACCTAATCATATATTGTTGTTGTTACAGTGGTAATAACTTATGAAAGTACATGATTTTTATGGACATCTAACACTAAATGAGATTCAGCATTTATTTAATATGTTCCAAAGCCAGACTTGGTTAAAGAACTGTAAAGGAAGTACCACCTTTTTCATGTACAGAGGAGGACATATATAGTAGTCAATGGCAATTAACTACACAAGTTGAAAAATACACTGCATTTACACCCAAATGTGGCTCAGGGGTCTTTTACTTTATATAGCCCTGTGATTCTGAATTTATAATGTTCCTAATTAAGTGTGTCAGGCTGTTGGGAAACTGATTAGAGCCACATTTGTTTATTTGTTGACTAGCACTGGTTCACTGTACTTATGGCTGGACATAAGTACGATTGTGTTGAAAATGTGATGGTTGGAGACATCAGAAATACTTATTAAGTCACCTCTGGGTTATAATAAAAGTATTTCTGTGTGTGTATTTGTAAAATGCTCAAGAAAGTTAATGAAAAGTGTATAACGTGAACCATTGTGCTTTTGAGTGGTGACAAAACATTACGCAAAAACACATAAAATCAGAAAACTGGTGCAGAAGGGCGGTGTCACAAATTGAAACGCATTTAAAAAACATGCGTTTCATTTGTGCTCTGTTGAAGAGGACAAGACAAAGAACAAGGCTGTAGAAAACAATGTGACATACTTTGGACTGGATCTGATTTCCTGTCCGTTCTTGTACCACTTCAGCTCAACTGTGGGGTCAGCCAGATCAACCACCATGCGGATCTTTCCACCTTTATCTGCCTGATATGCTGGATCCAGTTTCTTGGCAAAAGCTTTGAAAAGATTAAACAAAGGTCACAAAAAGACACAACAAGATACAAATCCCGTCTTGACCAGGCATAAAGACTGATAGTCAACAAAGGAGCACTTCAAAAATGTGGAAGAAACTGATTTACCTTCAGTTTTCTTCTCCACTCTTGTGATCTTCTTCATCCTTTTCAGCAGACCCCTCAGATCTGTGATGCCATACATGAAGGCAATCTTCTCATACTGATCTGGCCGGGCGTTCTTCAGGATCTCCCACACATCAACATCTGGACCTTCATCCGCTTTGGGCTCCCTAGTGGTGCCGGATACGAGGGAACGATGTGAGGTTTCGGAGTCATAGGTGTTTTTCGCAACGTGTCCTGAGGAACTACTAAATAACCTCTCGAGTAAGGGTCATTAAAGCATATCTTTAAGCTTTACAATCACTGCTTATTTCACTAGGTTCATTTCTCCTGGTTCCTGCCCTGCCATTTTTTGGTTAGCATATCCTATTTCGTTCCTCGGGACATGTCACACAAAGGGATGGGCATGGTGAGCTATCAACCTGTGTTGAGGTTGTCTTTGCAGTCAAATGTTAACTGTAACATGAAACACAGCGGTGCCCTCTAAATTACTGAGAATTATTGGGGGGTTAATTGAGTTTGCTTGTGGCCTTTCACGTGTCTATGGACCAGGATTCCTTTGGAAGTGTGCAGGAAAAAACTGGGAGGAATTACAATCACGGGACTAGCTTTTGTTCTGAGGTTAGTGACTTGGTTAAATACACCAACCAACTTGAATACAGCAAGTATATGTGTGTTTTTATAGGGGAGATTTGAAAAGATATTACGGTACATGTTCTTATTGTTATAATATTCTAACATCTAGGGTTGCCAATAATGGCAAAAAAATGGCTTTTAAAGGTTTCTAGCATGCATCGAGGGATGAAAGGGAAATGGGAACTAATGTATATTAAGGAAGAACTTTGAGGTGGGTTCTTTTAGTTTGGAAGTGTGGAAGATGAAAAAAAGATTGTATCAGTGCTGTGTGATTAAATTAGCACACAAGAGCAGATCAGTTATCTGATCACATTTTTGGTTCCATTTTGCTGTGTCGTTCCACTTCTTGTAATGCTAAACTCCTTTGAGATATAACATGATGCAGCATGCAGGGATTTAAGGGAAACCTGAAACAAAGATTCTTAATGCGAATTTTCACATCTTTCATTTTTCTCTTATGAACTGGCCCATCCCTTTGTTTTTTGTTGGTTTGAGTGATCACTTCAGAACTGCACTGACATCGTTAGATTATGATATTAAAGAGGTTAGTTTTGTGAGATTAAAGTTAATTAAAATGCCGCCCTAAACATGAGTGTATCAATTAGTTTACATAAAGAACATTCAGACAGCCCTTTCTTTCGTAGACATTTTCCCAAATGTCCGAAAGATTGGAGGTGAATAGCGTCAATATTATTCCATTCTATGTTTGTATTTCTTATCTGTTTATTTTCAAGCAATTATGTAGAAAGCTGAAATAAACATGGTGATGTTTGCCTTATATTTCTAAGTTGAAATAAGACGACAATGTAGAGATAACACTATTCTACAGCATCATTTCTCTATGGCCCACTAGCACATCATAAATGATCCAAAATGGTGCACTGTGCCTCATAAAGGTGGTTTTTGACTTCATGGCTTGATGAAGATCTATTACCTCGGGTTCTTTATGACGCAAGGCCCATTTCCATCATTTCTGATTGCTGACAGAGGGGTTAGGAATGCTGCCTTCAAATGAAGTGTTACCGTACTACAGTAGGCCAACACTCTTGCTCGTCCAATTCCTAGAGCTACATGTCATGCTGGGGACTCTACAGGATTACAGTACTCACCCGCAGTAAGGTCTAATTGTTTTAAAACCTATGATTTTCTCTCTACTAACCTTTGATTTCTGAATATGTAGGGGAGAAGAAGAGACAAGCCCAAAAATAAATGGATAATGTTGCGAGTGAACAATTTCACTGCTTAGGAGTATTTGTACCTTAAACGTTGCACTGTCTTATCTGAAATATGCATCATATGGTGTTTATTTTGAGTCACCACAGTAGCTTTGGTAAACCAGAGGTTTTCAAACAGTAAGGTGCCCCTTCATAAATCGGAACCCCTTCTCAAAGTCAAAACTCAGATAAATCAGACTACACTACTTTACATGTACGTTTGTCTGTCGCAAAATGAATGTCCATCAATCAGCTTAGATATCATAGAATAAAGACTCCTTTAGAGTCCAGAATGTAATCCAAGTAATAGCTGGCTGTACTTCTATCATTGAATTGCAAACAGGAACTGCTAATAAAACATTTGGCAATTTACTTAAATCTAACATAGCTATATTGGATATTGGAATCTAATTCTCTGACTTCCAATGCATGATTGTCTCTAACAATATGAGTGACAAAATCCATGAAAATAAATATTTTGTCGGGCTGCACTATCAATATGTGTTGCCCTTCGAAAGGGATGGTGTGTAGTTGTTGCCATAGTGTCAGACCTTGAAAACCTCTGGTAAGCCATAATGTATCATATGTAAAAATGTACGTGCGAAACAAATAAAGTAGCTTGATATAATAAAAAATTATAAAAAATTGAAAGAAAGACAAAAAAAAGCACATAGACAAAGTGCCTATAATCCACTCAGGGTCGGAATGCGATTCTCACCTATGTTTAAGGAGACCACTAAAGTCAAGTTCCCCTGCATCTTCTTGTCCTTCACTGCTGTTGTTACCAAGGAGAGATTAATGAAGATTCAATCAGTTGAAACAGTTGCAGGCACTATAAAACAATGCTAAAATAGCAGAACAAAGCAAAAGCTCTGACGTCAATCGATGCATTAGCTCCACGCTAACACCTGATTAATGCTTACACAAAACCACTTTTTTAGTCTTTATGGATAAAAGCTTAAAATAAGGTGTTTTGTGTAAGACACTTCAAGAGCGGTCCCAGGCAATATTGCTACAGTCTTTCTGCAATGTTGAAGCAACATTACTTAGCAGCAAGATTGTAAAACTGGGATGCTTTGTATTGCTTTCCAGACACATTGTTTGGAGGGAGATTTAAAATGCAAGAGTTGGCCTTTAATTACACCTTGAGTTGTAATTACCTTCGAGAAAGGTTAATGACATTATTACAACCGTCACACTTAGATGGCGTACAAAAATATCACCAGAAAGGGAAATATTTATCACACTTGTTCTTTTCTTCACTTCTCAGGAGCATTTATTAATATTAATCTTGCTTCCTGAAATAAATACTAAGTTAATTTATTTGAAGTGAAAAAATGAAATACTGTACTGTCGCATACTGAATTCGTAGCGTTTTTTTTGTTGAAAGTTCTTTCGTTACCTTCTTTTGAAAGCTGATCGGATATCAAAATTCTGTGAGCCCTCAGCTTCTGTAAGACAGTAACAACACACCTGCTAGTCTGTACTTTGTTGACATATTACAATAAATATATAGACTTTTATGCTTAAACAAACCTTTAACTTCCAATTCAAAGCAACAGCTGTCAAACTTGTCCTTGTAGGTGACTTCGCACCTGTAGTTTCCTGCATAGTTGTCTTTGGCTTTGACGATGTGCATCTCAAATGTGTGAATCTGTCAGGGAGTGATATATAACAACTGGCTTAAAAGCACCTACTATGAGATCGAGTTGGGATAGCTTGGGGACTTGTTGTACAATACCTTGGTCAGTCGTTCAAAGGTCTCTTTCAGCTGTAAGTGCTTTCCTGTCTTGCTAGCAAGATCCATCCATTTTCCTTTGATCCATTTGATAGTGGGTTTGCGGAGAAGATCTTTGGCCTCTACCTTGGCAACAAAGGTGATGTCTCCACCTTAAGGCCCAGGAAATATAATGTGATTACAGAGAAAACCTTTCCAACAATACCAGATTTCGAATCAATAACCTATCAACGTCACAGTGAGGCACTATGCTCTGATTGTATCTCTCTCTTTTTGTGACATTCTACTATACTGACCCTTTTGCCCCTCTTCTTAAAGACTTAGTTCAAAATGTTATGCAATGCGCTTATTGGCTTTATTCCAGAGATCAATACCACAGTCATATCTGTCCTTTCAGGATGATTAAGCTAGAGCCAGTAGTCAATTAGTTTAGCTTAGCACAAAGACTGGACAGGCTATATCACCGAAGCAAAGATAAACTTGGATAACATTCTCTGCTCAGGTAAACATTAGTCCACTTCATCTTTACATAGCAAATCTCCGTTTGCTGATGTATTGATGATCCGAATGTCTTCAAAGAGAACCTTTAACTCTTTGTGCTGTCACTCACCCACAGGGATAGTGGCGCTTTGTGGACTCTCTATCAGTAGGGTGGACCTTGGTGGGCTGTCAATAGGCTTTTCCAGGTCATCTGGGCCCTGGCCGTCTCCCAGAGACCACACTGCTCAGTCAGGAGAAAGACATACATGACAAAGTGCTCTCCAAAGTCATTGTGCTAGGAAAGAATATAGCAGTACAGTTGAGGAGTTCATACACCCACCTTTTACTTGGATCTGAAAGTCTTACCAGTAGAAAGTAATACAGACAGACAGACACATTTTCTCACTTTCAGCCACCAGACCTCATACACCAGCAGAATATAAGCGCTTTGCAACATTGAAAGCATGAAACAGACATTATGAAATGCAGAAATGCCACCTCATTGGCAAAAGAGATCGCATTTGTTGGACATTTTCAGCAAAATAAATGTATTATGTAAATTACGGATTCTCTTGATACATTCTCCAGTCTCCGTTGCAATGGGATGAATGTGGTTGAATCACACTGTTGCTGAATAGTTGCTGTCTGAATCTAGTGTTCTAACGTTGTCTGAGAGAGTTGGGCGTATGACAATCCAGGAGAATAGTCTTTTTTATTTTGCTCACCATATTGTTGAGGAAAAATGAACCTTTTGATGATTATGCTTAATAACTAGAAAGGCTCCATTTGATCAGCTATAACAGAAAACTTGTTGAGTGACGATAGGATTTTCTTGGTACCGGTCTAACTTCTTCTTGGGGTGAATGAAAAGGTGAACATAATTACGGTAAGAGTCTTTTTTGGCTACCACTTTTTATTACCTGAGTCTTTTCTCCCCATGGCTGGCACAGGGACGCTATCATCTAAACAAAGACAGAGAGAAATTTACAGCATATTATAAGTAATAGTACTGTAAAGTCCACTGAAGCAAGCACACACTCTCAAAGAGTCAAACCAACAAGCAATTAAAGATTTTCAAGCATTGGTCCAAGGGATTCTGAATCAAAGCTATGATTTAAAAAAAAAAATGTATTCTATTTGTTTACCATAAAACTAAGTATTGGATATGGATTAAAAACTGATTGAAAAAACAAAACGTATACCTAACGTGTAATTAACCTTAAGAAAAAATATTTGTATTAATGGGTGTACAGTATGTTAATAAGTTAGTAAGAACATTTTGAACATAATTATTTGTATTGAAAGGCTAACTTCCAAACACACACAAATATCTAAACATGTTTTAACATGTTTCTCAATTCAGAAGGATAAATTTGATTTAGAGTCTAAAGGTTTCAGAGGTACTAAAATGGTTGAAGGATTTAACAGAGGGATCTTACGAGGCAGCTCAATTGAGAGTTTCTTGAGTGAAATGGCATCCTCTGCGGAAAAAACACAGTTGTGATTGAAATGAATGAGCATAAATTAAACTATAGTGGTTGGATGAATAATGTGTCTACACCACACCAGTGGTTCTCAACCTGTGGTACAGCTCCCGCTAGTGGTACGCGGAGGAATCTGACATATAATATATATATTTTTTTACATTTTCCTCCGATTCCTGCATGAACTGTGCATAGACTGTATTTTAACATTGGTCATACAGTATGGTGGTACTACTCGGAGAGCCAACTATTTTCTCAGGTGGTACTTGGTGTAAACAAATTGAGAACCACTGGTCTACACCATTGTTGGTTTGACCAGGTGGTGGATATTTACCATTGAATATAAGCTCAGAGAAGCAGCTATCTGATTGGCTGCATTTTGACGCTAACCCAAAGTACATTTTCCAAACAATCCAACCTTGTCCTTGAAAGGCTTTTCTCTTGCAAAACCAAGATGAAGTGTTGAAATCACTACTAGTAAAACTAAACTGTTTTGTTTTGTGTAGCACAAAACACAAATTGATGCTTTATCAGAAGTTTTGGTGAATTTCTGGTCAACAATATCAAACTGCCCTTTGACAACATATGCAAAGACATTTAGCAGTATTTATCTTTCGTAGATAGATTTTTTTAAAATGATGAACAATTGTTTCCATGTGCATTAATATTCATGTACACATTTAGCAACCATGTATTTATTTTCTATGCATAATATATACATGTGAAATATCATTTTCACATCCAAACCTTTATTTGGTATGAGTAAATAAAGGTTGATGTGCTTGTAGGAGTACATGTAAAAAACACTCAATTATTTCATGTTTGTTAGTGCACAGGGTGCTGATGACATACATCAGAATTGTAACAAATTTGACATACAAATACCGTACATAAGAATAAATACAGTTTTAACCGTGAAGTAGATTTGAGCATATGCCTTTTTGTTACTTTTTGAGTCAAATACTAACCAATGCCTGTAAAGCTGAAATATTGTTGGAATAAAGTTAATTGGCTATCTTTAAATTGCCAAGATATAGCTTATCAACTAAGATACCCGTAACTTGTGATTCAATTTTAAAATACTTTAACACACCTCTGAAAATGTGGTGATGGGAGTTTATTTGAGCCTTAGGGAGTAGTAATGTTTTTTATGAGTACCAACCTGCATGGGGTTTTGGGGATAGGGTAGTGGCTGCAGCAGCATCATCATCTGCAATAAAAGTGTCATTGACAAATACACCCACCTATCAAAAAGCTCCAAATCCATCACCGCCAGGTTAACAAGATAAAGACTAGAAGGCCTATAAGCTCGTTGAACCCATGTGAAATAGTCTTTAAATGGAGCATGACATGCAGCTCCTAGACAGGAAGAATGGACCAAAAATATCAACCTATTTTAACTTAGCTACTCTGTCTCAACGATAAAACAATGTATCAGCGTGAGCATGAGTGCTCATTACTGTAAACTTCTCAAGCAGCCAAAGCAAAAACCAAAGCTCTTTAGCAATATTGCACGCAGACAACACATCATGAAAACATCACATTTGAAGCAGCAGATGCAACCAACATTCACAAAAAATGCTCATGACCAAGCCAACAAAAGCATGACGATTCCTGTGTATCTTCAGTGATTCTTGGAATGTTTTCTCTTAAATCCAATTCATCCTTACCTGAAGATACTACAGACAAAACAGCTAGCCGCCTTATCAACACTATTTAGTGTGATACAAGACTCACCCTGCATACCAATGCCGTGTCAATACTTAATATGTTCTTATTTATTGGTATACATTCGTTCCTATATTTATTTGAACATCTGAAAACTCAGACACTGAACCATAAAGTCCTCTGATGCAAGTTTATATATATTCTTTATTCTTGAAGATCTACACGCAATTAATGTCATGTATCAAATGCTAGGTCAACGCATGAATCCCACTGGTAAGAGTGACATCCATATCATTCTTATCAGGAAAGTAAAGATATCTATTAGCTTTCAACACCACAGATCATTGGGCCATGCTGCTGAGCCATGTAGTGTGCAACTGACATGACTCGTAATACTTTCAGGGCTTGATTCAGTAGCATTTTAAGGTGAAAGAGCTAGAGGTTTTAAGATGCATTCTGAGAGAGAAATGGTACTTCATGTTTAAAACCAATACTTACCAGTTGGTGGGGGGGAGCAAGGACCCTCTTTCTTAACAGTAGAGTTTTCAGACTCTGCCTGCTCTTTGACCCCAACCCCACCAGGCTGTGGTTGGTTTGTGTTAGTCTCGGTGGGGCTTGGCTCCTGAGCCTCCACAGCCTGTAATGGCTCAGGCTCTGAGGGCTCTGGTTTCTTCCCATCAGTATCTACTGGCTCTTTCCCATCTGCTACAGCCTCTGTACAGCAGACAAAGCGCCAGGCTCGAGCAGCAAGCTTGGTGCACAACCGCTGGTAGTCTTGCAATACAATGCTTGCTCAACAAGGTGGTATACATGGCTAATGACCAGATAGCCGCAATTGTAATTGGAGAGATTAAATCAAAAGGATTTTTATATAAGATTAATAATCTACAACCAATCTATAAAGCTTTCTTACATTTGTTCCCTGAGCTAAATGCTAACATGCTGATGGGCAGTACTTACAATGTTTCCGATGTTCACCATCTTAATTTAGGGTCTGAGCATGCTGATGTTTACTAATTGGCTGCATTCTACAACAGATGGTCCGCTGACACTTAAATGTATGGGAATATCATTGGTTTATAACCAAAATATGTTCGTATATAATTATATTAATTTTGAAGCACCAATGTAGTATGCCATTGTGTCGTGTTTTGATCAGGTGCACCAAAGAAGCTGGTCATTGCATATCCATACAGTAAAGAGATTAAGGAGGTAGGAATTAACTGACTCACTGATTGCTTGTACCATTACATTTTGACAGCTAGCCTTTGACAAGAGCCATAAATCAGTAAAACCAAACCTCACCAATCCCTCTATACATCCTGTGTGTTGAATTACTGTCACACAGCTTCAAAAACATGGTTACAGCAACAGTGTGAGTCCCTATCAGCACCAAGCATCAAAGCAAATGCAGGTAGAGCAGTGCAAGCATGTGGATTAATGCACAGCTAGTGGGATGGTGTTACAGCTAACCAAATTAAACTTTTTGTGCAAATAAATGAAAAAATGCTGAGCAATTACACCTACACAACAAAAATGCAGTTTCACGCCTTTCAGGGTGATTTAAGTGAGAAAGGAAGTGTGGCACACACCAAACAAACTTGTGATGTAAGTGTGATACGCAAAAATAAGCCAACATTCCGTGGCAAGTACAGGGGACGTCAGGGTACCCACCTGTCGGTGGAGAAACCTCCAAGGTAATCTCAGGTAGGGGCATGGCACCATTACTCACTGGGGTAACACTTTCTAAACATGTGACAAATACAGTGGTGGATGGAACAGCTGCTTTTTATAAGCACAAAGCTTTAGCATCTGCAATGCCTCTCTCAGTCTCACACTCAAACATACACTCCAAAGCCAACACACACAAACA